GGTGGGGGACTGGGGGTGGGAGGGTGGAGGGCAGCCCCCTGGTGGCTCTCAGCGTCCCAGACCCTGTGGGCCCTGAGATGCTCCGGGGGGAGGTGCTACTGGCCCTACTGCAAGCCCTCCTGGCAGAGTTGGGTAGCCAGGTACCCCTTTTGTCAGCCAGCAGAGCAGCTCCCCAACATGTGCTGCTTCTGGTTCTGCATCTGCCCCAGCAGAGAGGGGTGTCCTTCCAATAGGGCCCCCCTTCTGAGCTCCAGCCAGGCCAGGCGTGTCAGCCCCTCCTTCCAGTCGGTCCCGAAAGCACAAAGCTCTCTCCCAGAGTGCAGCCTTTTTAAGGCCATGAACAGTGTGGCCAATGGTTCAACATGTCAATTAGTCTACTTTATATGATGGCCCCCCCGGAGTCTTTTAATGTTCTGCTAAACAATCATGAGAGACTGCTTCAGTGTTCTTCTCCAGAGAGGCCGCAACCTTTGGCCAGGGAAGCCACATGGAGCAAGCAGATGTCAAACCCCACATTAGATGGGGAAATTGGTCATCCTCGGGAACCTCATCTTGAGAATATCCATTTCTTCCATGTAATTAATGTTTCTTAGAAATTCTCCTTTCTTAATTGATACTTAGGTTTCAAAATCTCAGTGGTCCAGTGCATAAAAATAAATACATGATTTTTGCTTTCAAAATAGAGATTACTGATATGGCTTGGTTTGGTCTCCCAGCACAACCAGTATTTTCTTGCAAGCCAGTTGCCTACAGGAGTGCTTTGGGAAATTACATTCCTGGCCATCAAAGGCAAAGACCCTGGATGCAACAAAGCATGAGCTCCCGTGATGGTCCTCTGCAAGCCCCTCCCTGGGAGAAAGGCACAGGGTGTGGCTGGGACACAGCAGAGCCTGAATCCACCTCTGGCCCAGCTTCGCCTCCTTTCTCCACAGATCTTTAGCCAAGCCCTTGGCATCCCTGGGGCAAACAGACTGTTTATGGGGTTGCTAGCGGAAGGTCAAGAGGGTCTTCACACACTCTTGTTGTCTGCCAGCTGATTCCGAAGCGCCAGCTTTCAGCACTGGATTATTAGATTGCAATATATGCATAATCCAGAGGGCAGATGAGAACTGATGAGTGGGAAATGTCGGGAAAATCACCTTGGGAGAAACAGCTTCACCATGAGTGTTAGCAGCAGAACAGGGACCAGGAGTGCTGAGTTCCCCTGTCCTGGGGGCACCGAGCAGAGCAGAGCAGAGGAAGGGCAGCTTTTCACTGACCTCCAGTCTGTGGATCACACAGTATTTCCAAAGGTTGCTGCAGAATGGTGATGTATGAGGACCATGCACAAAACAGGAATACTCTTGTTTGGCTTAATGCTTTCAACACTTTCCAGCCCAACAGAATGTTGGAAGGAAATTATATAAAGAGGCTTGGGACCCCGTCTGTCAGTCTATTGTCTGTTGGCAGGATATACTCCAAAACCTGAAACAAATTGTACCACGTTTGGTATGGCAGGAAAAGCTGGCAGAAGAAAGATTGTGTTTGAAAATGGGCTGATTCCATTTCCCCAAATCCATAAACAACTGCACGCAAATAGCAAATATGCATTCAAATGTGCAGAAAGATGTGCACCAGGCAGGCTTTGGTTCCTCAGGCGATTCGTTGAACAAGCACTTGGACTTCTGCTTGCGATGATATGCACTGGCAGCCACTTGGGCTTTTCGGCAGGTGCCAGGCAGGCCTGTTTGCACATGGCCTGCCGAGTTTCTATAATTAAGGCATCAAAAGTCTGGGGCTGGACTAACCTCCACATCCTCGTGTGTGAGGCATGCCAAGGCTTTAAACCCATATGTAATTCCTGGATTTTATCTGTTCTAATTAATTTGCCCATTATTGTCCTGCAACTATCCAACCCAGAGCCCTCAAGATAAAATTGCTGCCTGCAGCTGCTGGGTGCTGCCGACCGCTACCCGGAATGTCACCGACTCCAGCAGCTACACCGCGCCTGGGATTGTCTGGGACATCATGCACGTCGTGGTCAAGGCACTGCCCAAAAGTTACCCCATCATCAATCTCCTTTCTTTCCAAGTGTACAGTAGTGGAAGTGCAAATGATAAATCCAAGGGAATTCAGAAGGCCCAGAGCAATTTCAGCCAAACATTTGAGAGCCATTTCCCTAGTCAGTTTCCCCTAATTACATGGCTGCTGCCTTCCCCTTCGCCTTGCACAGTAGTAGTCACAGCTGCGGGGTTGTGAGGCAGAGCCCCAGTGTTCTGGTTCATCATGTTGGTTCAGAGGAAACCCTTCACAGAGGTCTCAAGTTAATCTGACAATGTAAAAAAGCTTGTCCTTAAATTGGAAATAATTTTGTCACAAGCACAAGTCTTTTTAACCAGATTAATCAGCCCTTAAGGATAACTCTTGAATTAATTTATTTACTCTGGGAATAACTTTGGTTTCACAGGCTAAAACCTGGTTTTCCTCTTTTAACTGGGCAATTTCATCTAAGGCTCTTTCTAATTTAGTTGGGCATCACCCCAGGAGGCCTTATCAGCTTGTTCTAGTAAAGAAAAATAGTACCATAGAGACCTGATTTCTTTCTCCTTCCTCCAGGCCAGTTCCTTCTTTTCACATTTCCATTCATCCAGCTGACTGGTCTGAGACAGCTGCAGATGGTGCTGGTCTTCTGAGCTGGTCGGGGCTCCAGGTTCTCTTGCTCCACCTGTATGCTGGCCTCTGGGCCACCTGAGCAGCGGCCTTCTCCTTCATGCTGGCTTTCAGCTCCTGGCAGTAATTCTGGAAGAGCTTCACCCAGTCACCCAGGGGCTGAATCTTTGCCCCTCTTTGTTGTCCTTTGCCATGGGATCATTCATTGGAGCATAATAAAGGAACAACAACAACAGCACTAATTCTGTTGCCCCCTGATCCCTTGCCCCTTAGCCAGGGTGCCATGATTTGGTTCAGTTTCCTGACTGTCAGGCTATGCTGATTGCTGGGATGGACATCAATCCACCTCCCGCCCCGCCCCCCCAATGTGTGATCCCACAAATCTGGATGCCCAGGCCAGCGCAGACACCGTGTGCTCAAAGAGCACCCTTTGCTGATGGGAGGCCGAAGAAAGCGGACTTGGCATTGGCAGCACACGGGGCGGTTCAATGAAATTGTAAAATTGTCCAGTGCTCCAGCCCAAGAAACAGTGACGTCTAAGCATCTTGCTGCACATGTTCTGGCCTTTGGAATGAAAACCAGCCTCTTGCGTGGACTGTATAAGGATCAAACCCAGTGCCTGTTTTACTTTCTCCTACCTGAACAGCACCATCTTATGGGGAGGCTGAATTTCGTTCCTCACCACCAGCAGTGGTGCCTCTTCAGTGGACCCAGGCTTCTGGAAAATCATCCTACAAAATTCTAGCGTTTGCAATTCTGCCTTCTGGTTTGGAAGTATGCAAAACCAGGAGCTGCAAAAGGTGGCTTTTTAAAAACAACAACATTTGTGTTGCATTTAAAACTGTCCATAACTAGGGCACACATGTTTTTGCACCATCATTAATTCTGAGCAAAAGGGGCTTTACAGATTTCTGATTAACTCTCCAGCCCTGACAGGCTCAGCATTTGCTGCCTCATTTGTGGTGCTCCTCTAACTGAGGCATTACTGGCATTCAGTCCATCCGCCTTTAGGCAACGCTGGAGCAGAGGAAGGAGGAGTCAGTCCCCTGGAAATGAAACCCAGGACAGGGTGCAAGGGGCGTGGGCTGTTCCTTCATTTTCTTGAAGGGCAGTGAAGCAATGGTCTTCCTAAATCAGGGCAGTCCTCTCCTGCTGCCTGCCTCCCAGTGCATCTCCCAGTGGCATTGGGACTGCATTCTGCTAGGACACATGATTGCGGAGGAATCTCATGTGGTGTTCCAAATGGACCACATCCTTGTAGAGGAGCAGAACTTCAAATGGAATCCCACATCTGTCAAGCAAGAGGTTAAACCAGGTGTTGTGGGGACCTACAGGGGACCTCCTCCTTCCTGAATCAACAGTTCCAGTTCATGGTAGTAAGGGAAGAGAAGTCAGACTGGTGATCAGTGCTTATTTGTGGGGTGTCTCTAAGCATAATTCTCCCCCTCCCCTTGTTCAACATCTACATGAAACTGCTGGGAGAGGTCATCCATCAATTCTGCCAGACTCACAGCTAAATGACAGGGGAGGCTGTCACCAGGAGGGCCTTTCTCCAGCTTTGGTTGGTGCACCAAATGCAGCTCTGTTTGGAATAGGAAACCCTAACAACAATAACTCTGCTTCTCACCAGAATTGGACTTCTGTACCGTGTTCTACATAGGTCTGCCTTTAAAAAATCCCCAGAAAGTGCAAATTGGTGCAAAATGTGGCAGCCCACTTTCTGGTGACTGAGAATTGCCATTGCCATGTAAGCCATAGCCATTTGTGTGTGTGTGTGGGGGGGGGAGTTTACCAATACGTTTCTGGAAGACCAAGTGCTGATGTTAACCTATAAACCTCTAAATAGGTCCATCTTCTCTACATAGAATCAACTTGCCTGGTGCATGCTCCCCAACAAAATCTGTTAATGCCCCCCCCCATTACCAAGAGGCTAGGGGAGCAAGGATAATGTTCTTCTGTTGCAACCCCTGTCTCCTGAGGTTCGATAATTTCCAACCCCCCTCTCCACCCCCCCCCCCCCCAGCTTTCCAGAAGCTTTGCTGAGAGCATTGGGAAATAAGCTCTTGTGTTACTTCAGTGTATTATTGTATAGTTATCATTTTAATATCGTTTTATTGCTGTACACTGCTGGGAGTTCATGCAGATTACGATGGTATATAAATGACAGGCAGAAATAAATGGTGGCTTTGGGTCCTTCAGGATTAAAGGAAATCTAATTCAAGAAGGCAAATAGGCTTTAAGACTCTAATTTTATGACCTTAAAACCTTAATGGAAATTGAGTGTCAACTGAAGAGAAAGCAACGGGATTGGATTCCACCTGGAGCAGAGTTCTTCTGAACCCCGGAGGGTGGCAGAAGTATCTCTCTCTTGTCTGAGCCTGGCCATCCAGGCAGGGCTGCCCTGGCGTTCCTGGGCCTCAGAGGAAAGTGCAGGAACCCATCCCTTGGTCCGGCCGCCTTGGGCTCCATGTGGAACAGCTGGTGTGGAGGCTGTCCCTCAAAGAGTCCCTGCTGATATGGGGTCATCTGCCACAGCAGATGGAAGCTCTGTGGGTGACATACATGGACCTTCTCCAGGAAGCACATGGTTCTCTCTCTCTGAACTGTTCTCCTCTCTTCACCCCACCCTAAGCTGGTGAGTCGCTCTTTGAACTCTTGTGTCCTTTTACCGTTTATTCCCCCCGCAAAAAATAATTTTTCTAAATCCTTAAGCTCATGTTTAAAACTTCTTTCACTAAGTATTGAAGGAACCCGCCCAGTGAATGCCATAAAACTTGCCGTTGAGAAGGTTCTTAATATTTGAAAACCAGTAAAAAAGTAATTCCAAAAGTGATAAAGAAATGAGGCTTGGCTGAACTTTGTGTCCATATAGGCTACATTATGACTGAGCTTAGTTGGAATCCCTCAATTCCCAGCCACTCGACTCACCAGCAGACTGCAAAAACCTCAGTTCCAGTGATCTACTCACAAGGAGCAGCTGTGCAGAGTACATGTGGGTGAACTCACGATCTCTCCTTTCTCTGGAGAAATTTCGCTGGCCAGGATCTACTCTCTGGCCCCCAATCTCCACCATAATGCCATCCCTGCTCCTTCAGGGATGTCTAGCTCGCCATGTCCTCACCAGAAGAGGGAACATGAGACATTGTTGCTGATGCGTGCTGGATAATTGAGAAACCCAAAGAATACCAAAAAGTCATAGAAAAGCCTTTGATTGTGTCAATCATGTCAAGCTGTGGAATATGCTCAGAAAATGGGAATCCCAGAGCATCTCATTGTCCTCATGAGAAACTTATATACAGTCAGGAAGCCACAGTCCGCACAGAACATGGTGAAACAGACTGGCTCCAGGTTGGCAAAGGAATGTGACAAGGCATTCCTTTGCCATTTGCCATTATTGATTCAACCTATATGTGGAATATATATTAAGGGAAGCTGGATTGGAAGAAGATGAGTGTGGTTTAGCTGGATTGGAAGAAGATGAGTGTGGTTTAGCTGGATTGGAAGAAGATGAGTGTGGTTTAGCTGGATTGGAAGAAGATGAGTGTGGTTTTAAAAGTGGAGGAAGAAACATCTATAACCTGTGCTATGATGCTACCCTGATAGCTGAAATGCAAAGGAGTTACAAGCCCTAGTACTAAAAGTCAAAGAGCAGAGTGAAAAAATGGGACTAAAATTAAACATGAAGACCAAATTAATGACAACAGGTAGAACAACCAGCCTTAGAATTGAGAATGAAAATATCAAAGTGGTGGATAGTTTCTGCCTTTTAGGATCAACCATCAACAGTAAAGGAACAAGCACTCAGTAGAGCAGCCATGAAAGCCTTGGAAAAGATATTCAAATGCTGTGATGTGTCTATACTTACAAAGATCAGGATCATGCAAGCCATGGCGTTCCCTGTGACACTCTATGGAAGTGAAAGTTGGACCTTAAAGAAGCAGGATAGGAAGAGTATTGATGCTTTTGAACGTTGGTGTTGGAGAAGAGTCCTGAGAATACCATGGACAGCCAAGAAAAAAACCAATGGATCATTGAACAAATCAAACCAGAGCTGTCACTCAAGGCACAAATGACCAAGCTCAAATTATCCTACTTCAGACTC